CAACCATCTAAGCTTCCAGTCGACATACGATATGGCAAGGTCCCTTGCCATATCGTATGTCGACTGGAAGCTTAGATGGTTGTTCCAGCAGTCTCGTACGATTGACATGAGGCTGGAGTCCCGTTATAAATGCGTCACGCATAGCATCATCGCAGTATTCTTCGACTGAGACGGACGGAAAATAACAGTGTTTAGCGAGCGTTTTGAGGTTTTGAACAAACTGGTCTATGTTCTGCCCAGCGTCTTGTTTACAAGTAGAAAGTAGGTACCGCGCAAATAACGTTTTTGGGGCGATTCGAGCAGGAAGATAGCGTTTTCAAATGTCTTACAATCAGAGATGTGTTCATAGACAGACGGTGCCAAAAAATTGATGAGTAGGTCTAGATTGCCCATGTCGTCGGATTGAAGACGCTTTAGAAAGGCGTTGAAAGTGCGTATCCAGTAGATCCATTGTTTGGAGGCATTGGGGGCGTTCAGATCGACATCAGATTGGTCGGGTCGAAGGTAACGGTCCATTATTAGTTGAGTAAATTGTAACGTTTTACGAATCAAACAAACGAGAGCGGAATGGAGAAGACTCGGAGTGGGAATTATACGCTTTACTCAAATGATAAGTCCGGTACATGAGCTGTAACAGAAAAAAGGTTTATGTAATACGCAATAGAAAAAGGGTGTATAAACAAGAGAACCAGAATGTGATAAAAGCCACATAGAGGTCAACAGATGACGTAGAAACGAGGCATGAAGAAATGCACAGAGCCATTAGGTAAAGTAGGTGTCACGCGCCTTCCAGGTTGGGGTCCGAAAGACTCCACAACTGGTTGGTTGGAGACGTTGCAGGATATGGCAGCGAACCGACAGCAGTGGCGTTCTTGTTGTCATTTCTTATCTGACCACAATGCTTAAAACGGTGTGTATGCACACTTAGATTGTGTACTCTGTTTGTTGACCATAGAGGTTCACCTTCTTCTTCCTACTTCAAAATAGGTTCAATCCCTGTTCTTCTTACACATTATCATTAACTTTGCATACATTGCGAGTTTGGCAACAATGGGTAAAGTTCGCTTCACTGTACTTCGTTGTACGATGGTGATGTTGAAGTAATGCACATCTTGTGATAATTGCTTTTCAACAACACGTATAATAAACAAACCGTGTCTTCTGGCATAATTCATTGGCACAGCCAAAAAGTTATTCAGTACTGTGGATATAACACGCTACACTGCGCGTGCCAAGTCCCTCCCACATCATCATCATCATCGTACAGCGAAATACAGTGGAGCGAACTTCGCTGATCGCTGCCAAACTCGCAATGTATACAAGGTTAGTGGTAAAATTTAAGGTGGTCAGGGATTGGACCTATTTTGGAGGGAGAAGATGAGCCACTATGGTCAACACACAGAGTACGCAATCGAACTCTGCGTACATACCTTTTCAAGCATTCTGATCTGATAAGAAATGACAACAAGAACGCCACTGCTGTCGGTTCGCTGCCATATCCTGCAACGCCTCCAACCAACCAGTTGTGGAGTCTTTCGGACCCCAACCTGGAAGGCGCGTGACACCTACTTTACCTAATGGCTTTGTGCATTTCTTCATGCTTCGTCTCCACGTCATCTGTTGACCTCCACGTGGTTTCCTCCAGCCCGGATTAGCCACAGCGAATAGAGCGCGGTGCGGCAGACGATGGCTGGGCATACGCAATACGTGACCTAGCCAGCAAAGCCTAGTAATCTGAATTCGGTATGCTAGCAGGTTTATACCTGACAGACTCCCAAACACACGACAGTTTCCCTCCATTTAACTAATCCGTTGGCTCCATCCAACATGGGCTAAACTGCGTAACACCAATAATCGAAAACTTCTAGTCGACGGATATAGCCAACTAGCAAATTCAGGGTCTCACAAACATAAAACAGGACTGAACGAACGCTAGCACAATATACACGACCTTTCAACTTCAGCGAAACGTTGCGTCTACGCCAAAGGTGCTTCAGTCCAGCGTATGCCGCTCGAGCCTTGGAAATGCGAGCGGTTACCTCCTTTGCTGCACTACCGTCATTGGTCACGCAACTACCTAAGTGCCTCCCAAGGCCTCAGTGTGGTTGGGGGTGGGTGTCCAGGGTTGCGGCTGGTCACCCTGCCCTTGCACCTCACGTAATGCCCCCATACGACCAAGCGTCTCAAATAGCCTCTGCTGAGGAAGCCC